CGGAACGGGCCGCTCTCGGCGCCCCGGGCCCGCCCGGCTCCGCCCGCGCTGCGAGCCGGCCTCCCCGCTGGGGCCCGCGGGCCAGCGCGCTCTGGGCGTGAGCCTCGAGCCGGAGTCTCGGTGGGCCCGGTCTAGACACGGGGGCCGGCCCTGGCCCTGGACTGCTCAGCGTCCCGGTCTAGTCCCGATTCGGGTCTGCTCTGGTGTGGGGCTCGGTCACAGCCTGGATCCGGTCCCAGTCCAGGGCTGGGCACTGATCCGGGTCTAATCCAGGTTCAGGGCTCAGTCTCAGTCTGGGTCTTGGCGTGGCCTGCATCCAGCTGTGCCGGTCACGGTGGGTTTGTCCCCATGAGGTTGCTGGGCCACCTGTCCCCGAGGAGAGACCAGGGAGCAGCCTCACACCCGGAGTCCCTGGAAAGGAACAGCAGCTTCTGCACAGGCCCGTGAGCGTGGCTGGCAGCTCATTCCCTGCCCCTCCATACCCCCAAAGCATCCCAGCTCTGGGTGCACTGACACTGTCCTGCCCAGCACCTGCAGCCCTGCTCGCACTGCTCGGGGCACCATGGGCTGTCCTAAAAGGTGCTTGTAGTAGAGCAGGGATGCTGGCTCCCAGGGATGCTCCAGGGATCAGGGCTATGTCTGATGCCAAAAGTTGTGACCTTGTTCTAACCCTATGCTGGCTCTTGGACAATGAGGGCACAATGCTGCTGCTGACTGCCTGCAGCCGCTGATGAACAGGGCATGTGTCCCATGGGCAGAAGGCTGGGGACCCAGCGACACCCCAGCTGCAGGTCCAGGTCCAAGACTCAACTTTGTCCCAAGAGTGCATCCCAGAGCTGCAGCCAGTCCAGGGAGATGCAGGCAGCCCTCCATTGGCCCCGACCCACCAAGGGCCAGTCAGTCTGTACATGACTGCCCAGTGTGCCCTGGCCCTGGGACAGAGGGCCCTTTCAGCACGGAGTGATGAAGTCCTTAGGAATGCAACTACATCCTGTCCTCAGTACATGCCATAGCCAGAGCCTTGGGGACTTGGCCTCCCTCTGCTCTGTCCAGAGCCCCATGTGAGCATCAGGCTGTGCCCAGTCTCTGGACAGGCAGCAGGGCCAGGGATAGTCCCTGTCCCAAAGGGCAGAGGCTTGAGCCTCTATAGTAGGAGCAGTGGCTCAGCATGTGAGCCACTGCTCAGGTGGTCACAGAGCCTGCCTGTGACCCCAGAGCACCCCAGGACTTCATGACCATGGCCAGAGACTCCAAGCAGAGAGGCCTCAGGGTGCAGGGCTACAGAGCTGGGTGTGATCTCAGCTCAGACCTCATACCCAGCAGGTCCCAGCCCCAGCACAAAGCCCCAGACACCCAGTGAGCGCCAACATTGCTTTATTTGGAAGGTGAATCCATTGGCACCTGAAAGGAGGCTGTAGGGGGATAGAGCTGGTGTGACAGACAGGGCTGCAGAAAGCCAGGGGAAGGCACTTGTGCTGGCAGAAGCACCGAGGGCATTTTGGACAGCCTGGGCCAAGGGCTGCACCAGAGTAAGGCAGAGGCAGGCAGTGTCAGGGACCAGCCTTGACACAGGGCACAGCCAGCATGTCCTACCCAAGGAAGGGGTACATGGCCTGGGGCTTGGAAGGAGCCCTGAGCATGATGGGGTATGCACTGGGACAGCACATCATGATGGAAGTGGTGACTCAGTACCAATCCCAGACCCCTTCAAGCACCCAGGGGAATCATGGCTGCTGCTCTCCACCTCAAAAAAGGCGCCAGGGAACCCCAGGCAACAGGCAGCTGTGGCCAGCTGCTGGGGACACCCATATCACTGATCTAAGTCTATGTAGAGACTGGAGCAGACCCTCCCTCGAACTGGGAGCAATAGAAAGGACCTGCCTCCAGGCAGGGTGAGGAGGGCTTGTGGCATGGCAGCCCTAGTGGGGCTCTGCTCCAAAAATTCTGTCTCTGGCTGCCCATTTCTCTAGTCAGCCCTACATGGCCTCGTCAGGACTTGACACCTGATGGATTTGGGAGGCTGATCCAGGGCTGGGCTGGCTCCAGTGCCAGTGTCCTCTTCTGTTCTCCAAGATAGGTTGTGATCCCACAATGCCTGGCCCCAGCTCCCCAGCACAGCCTAGCACTGCCATGCTGCAATGCTCACCCTTCCCCTCCACCTCACCACAGTCTCCAGGCACTGCCCACTCCCAGTGAGTCCAGAGATGAAGATTTTCCAGGATGATAAACCAAGTGCGGCAGAGACAGGCAGGGCTGCAGGCTGGTCTCCAGAACCAGCGAGGCTGTTTCTGTCCCTTTTGGAGTAGCCTGGTCCCAGGGCTGGTTCAGTGGCTCTGGATGGCTTGGAGCCACAAACCTCTCTGCAGGGACAGCAGGAGAGGAGACAACAACCCCATGACTGGCTCCCCTCAGCCTCTGGGGCACCTGGCTCCATCCCAGGGCTGCACAAACTCCAGGGCTGGAGGAATTTACCCCCTGCCCAGGGTCACAGAACAGGTTACGGCTCCACTTGTCCTTCCTCTCCCTCCACAGCAATGGAGGCCTTGCTGCCCTTCTCAGCCTCCAAACTGGACTGGGGTAATGCTGGATCTGGCTGTGCAGTACCTGGGTGTCTCCACACCCCTTGAGTGCAGGGCAGGAAGGCACTGAGCCCTTTGGGGCTCCAATAAGATAAAGAATGTTTTCAGGCCAGACAGAAGGAGGGGCCCAGGCTGGGGAAGCCAAGTTCAGAGCCTCCCTTAGGGAATTGTGGAGGCGCCATGCAGCTGGAATGGCAAGACGGGGCTGCCAGCAGGTCAGGGGGGTTTATGCCCATCCAACTCCACTAGGAGCTGCTGCCCCCAGCTCAGCTCCCCCAGGCATCCCCTCTCTACCCCAGGGAATAGTCAGCACCCACCTGAGCATGCAGCATCTGCAAGACCAGGGGCAGGGGATTTTGGCTTGAGTCCTAGGGGGGCTCCCAAAGATTGATATCCCTCTTAGGGGCTCTCCATTTGGGTCCTTCCACTTGCAGTAGCCTATGTCTGTCGAGGGCTGGGAGAAGGGCCTGTGCAGTGGCTGAGTGTCCACACTGCCTCGGTGCGCTGCAGGGGAAGCCGTGCTCCGCGAAGGCCTCTGTCTGTCCGTCCGTTTGTGCAGGAGTCTCTGGAGGAATTGCAGTGCAGTCAGCCAGGAGTGGATGGGGTGGCAGGGTCGTTTCATCCCAAAGACAGGCTGTGTTCTGTCTGCGGCTGAGAAGGGGAGCCAAGTGGCACGGGATCTCAGATGATGTCTCGCTGGTCCTGGCAACGCCGCAACAGGCAATAGAGCCCGGAGAAGAGGTACAGGCAGGCAGTGATGCCCCCGCAGATGGAGGCGCTCAGGTAGGCACTGTACAGGCAGTGCTGGCTGTAGCCCGGCAGGTTGCAAAAGCTTCTCTGCTTGGCCTTGTGACCCATGATGCCAGTGGCAGCTGCGTAGAGCCCCACACCCAGTGCCAGGTCGTGCACCAGGTTGGTGAGGAGCCAGCGGGAGCCCAGCCAGGGCACCAGCTCCCAGCGCCCCAGCAGGCTCAGCCCGAAGAGGGCCAGGGTGAGGAGCCAGATGAGGACGGCGGCAAACAGAGCGAAGTGGGCCGCCCCCTCGTACTTATGAGCCGCTACCGTCACCCAGAAGGCAGCGCCCAGAGCCAGCTGCCCCAGGCGTAGCAGGCCCAGCGGGCTCCGCAGGTAGGCGCGATGGAGGCTGAGAGAGCCGCGGGCCGGCGGCCCCGGGGGCGGCGGCACTGTCGGGGGAGCCGTGCGGGCCATGGCGCGGCCCTGCCTACTCCGGCGCGGCTCGGGCGGGACTCAGGGCCCCGGCAGCGACTTCCTCCCTGACTGTTGCCAAACATCTGGCACTTAGCGGTCCTCCCCGCGCGGGGCCTCTCTCCTCTCCTCCCCGCCCCGCCTCCGCACCCCGCAGCACCTCCCGCCAGCCCATCGGACAGCCGAGGGCCGCCGCGGATGCGCCGTCGGGCAGGGATCGCCGCGCCCCTCCCGTCCCGCCGCCGCCGGGGCGGGCCGCAAAGCGGGGCGCGTGGGGCGGCGGGAGGACGAGAGGGACGGCGACCGATGCCGGCGGCGGGGCCCAGAGACAGCACACCGGGACCCCGAGCGGCGGCCGGCGTGGGGCGCGCGCCGGGGCTCCCCTTACGTCACCGGGATTCCCTTCGGAGCGCGGAGCGGCGCGGCCCCGCCCGGGGGCGAGGCCTCGCACCCCGCCCGTAACGTCATCTGCGCCACGTGGCCTCCTAGCGAAGCGGGGCAGCCGCGCCCCTCGGCGCCGATTGGTGGTGGCAGCAGGAGGCGGGCGGGGATTGGCGGGGGGCGGGGCCGGTACGCAGGGTGAATGAATGGGGCGCGCGGCTGCGGCGGGACCCCGGCGCGGTGGCGCGAAGCGGGTCCGGGAACGCAGCGGGCACCAGGCGGAGCCGCCACCGCCAGGTCTGTGCGAGGGGCCGGTGGGTGCGGGACAGCGTCGGAGCGAAAGTGGGTCACGGCGGGGCCCAGCGCCCCAGGCAGGGCGGGACCGGACTTGCGTGCCCCGGCCCGAGCCGGGGCGTCTCCCGCGTTCCCGGGCGGCCGCGCCTGTGCGGCTGGCCCCCTGCCCGGCGTCCCGGACCGCCCTTCCCCCGACGCCTCCCCTTCTTCACTGGGCATCCGCGCCGGATCCCGGGGGAGGCGGACCGGATCGGGCGGCGGGACGGGAGCCTGACGCCGACTGTTCGGTGCCCGCAGCGGCCAAGGCCATGGGCACTCCGGCCTCGGTGGTAAGCGACTCTCCGGGACGGGCAGCGCCCTCAGCCCGCGCCCGTAAGCGGGCCTCGGCCAACATCTTCCAGGGCGTGGGGCTGCGAGAGCTGCGGAGCCTGTTCCGGAGCGGCGGGGCCGAGCGGCCCGAGGAGCGCGCCCGCCTCGTCTGGCGGTACGCGGGCCAGCGGCGCATGGCGCGGGCCCTGCGGCGGCTTCGGCGACGACGAACAACCCAGCCCGGCGGTGGGATGGCAGCGCTACGGCGCTTCGAACACCTTCGGTAGGTACGGCCCGCGGCGGCGGGACAGCCGGGGGAAGTGCGGCCGGGCCAGGCCGCTAACACACACCTTTTGCCCGTAGGATCGCGGAGAAGAAGCTGGAGGGTGACTGCGGGGCCGAGACGGGCTCGGGCTCCATGTAGCAGCGCTGAGCAGCTGGGCGTGGAGAGCAGCTCTCCAAGGACCCTAAGTGTACTGGGCAGGGTGCAATGCATGGTTAATAAAGGGTAGACAGTGGTGGCTGGGTGAGGCTCTGGTTGTGTCCTGCTCATCCCTGAGTGGCAGAACCATGGTCCAGGCTGTTGTACAGCACCTACTGCAAGGGGAACAGCCCCACATCAGAGGTCAGGTTGGAACAGACCTGTGGGTCATCTATTCCAGCCTCCCTGCCTCCCAGCATCCTAGAGCAGATGTCAGAGGATCACATCCAGATGGTTCTTGAATATCTCTTGTGAGGGAGACTCTCTGGGCAATCTGTTCCAGTGCACAATCACACAGTAACTGCTCTGGCACAGTCATAGGGACAACTGAAGAAGAAGCTACATGCTGCCCTTCATGAGAAGGAACACTAGGAAGAGAGAACAGAGATTCTCCAGGGAGCTGGCCAAGCTGGAAGAGTGTAGGCCCCTGGAGAACAGAGCAGTCATGAGGGACATTCTGAAGCTGGAGGAGCTGAAGCAGGAGGTATTCAGCCTCACTGCCAAAAGAACAAAACTCCAGAGCATGGTCCTGTGGCTGAAGGAGGAGAAGCAGCTACAGGAAGCAGCCTTGCAGTCTGAATGTGGCCACTTCGAGGAGGAGAAGCAGCAGCTGGGCAGCCTCATCTCCAGCCTCCAGAGCTCCCTCTCCAAGAGCCACTGGGCCCAGGAGAGACTGGAGCAGGATCTGCAGACAGAATGCTAAGAGACAGCCTGAGCAGCTGGTTGCCCTCTATGTCCATCATGAGCAGACAGGAAGGGAACTCTGTCCTGCAGCAGCTTCAGCAGTTGCAGGCAGCTAGTGCATCCCTGTACAGGTACACATGGATACCAGCCATGGGCCGAGGAACCCCGACCTGCTCTAAGGTGCTGCAGAGGCACAGATGTAGCCAGCTGAATGGCAGCTCTGTTATTCAGACCGTTGCATGGTTTAAATACATTACATACATTTCTACAGTGCATTAGAACAATACATTTTGGGTCAGTCAAATGCAGCTGGGCCTGGCTGGGGAGTTGGGATCTCCACTGCTGCCCCCTCTGTGCTTACACAGCCAGTGCTGAGCCCCCTCCCCACTGCAGTAGACAAAGCAGCTGCTCTGCCTTCCCAGGTTCACCTGCCTTCATCCCTCTCACTCCCCAAAGATGGGCTAACAGAACAGCAAGACCCAACACTGACTTTCCCCAGCAGCCTGAGAAGTCACAGCTCAAGGCAAGCAGGTGCAGGCAGCACCCTGGTGCTGTTTTATACAACACAAGCTCAGCAGCTGCTGGTGAGAGAGGGGCTCCCTGCCTCCCCAGCCACAGCAAGCCTGCAAGATTGTCAGCTCCAGGGCAGCCAGGAGTCCATGCTGGTCACCCAGTGCTCCCACCCCTGTGGCAGAAGAGCCCCTCCAGCCCTTCCCTGGCAACCCCTGCCCCTCAGAGGGTCCCTAGGCACAGACAAGGCTGGCACCATGCTGGCTGCACAGCAGCCAGGGAGCTTGCTGGGAGAGGAAAGAAAGTCAAGCGAGAGCAGCTATGGAGACCAGGCAGGAGAAATGGAGTGGGGCAAAAGGGGAGAGCTCCCACGGGAGAGCTCTGCGAAGCCACCTGCCCTTCACAGGGACAAGCCAGCACTTTCTTTGCCTTAGTGTCTAACTGCACCCAAGCCAATCCCATGTGTTGTCCCTCTTATGTCCCCTCCTCGAGCCTCTAGCCAGAGAACAGCCGTTCATTGTGGTCCCCGCTATGCCAGTGGGCAGCAGGAACTCCCCCTGAGGAAAGCAGCGTGCACGGGGTTGGGGCACTGGAGGGACAGTGGAGGAGTACAGCACACCCTCAGGGAGGGAGTATCACCTACTAAAGGCCTTCCCAGCCTGGCAGCTGGCATGGTGGGGGAAAAAAGGGCCAGTGGCTGGTGTAAAGGGCTGGACGGATCCTGGCTCAGGTAGCCCGTTCATCCCAGCCCCAAGCAGGGGTGCTCAGAACCGCATGCAGGCCAAGGAACAGAGGCAGGAGCAGGGTTCCAGCCATACCACAGTTCCTGGTAGATTCCCACACCTCCCCCTGGCCTCTGCCCCAGGCAGGGCACCAAGCTCCAATGGAGCTGGGGAGGGACCATGCCCATTCTGCCTGACTCCTCCAGTTCAGCTGCAGGTTCCTCCAGTCGCATCTGCTCACTCTACCCTGAAGGTCGAGTCCCAGCCACAGGAGCCAGCAGTGGCCCAGCTCCTCTCGCAGTGCTAGTCCGAGGTGGCCAAGCCCTGCCCATGGCTCCCACAGCTACCACCATGAGAAGAAAGGCTTCCGGCTCTGGAAGCTCTGTGTGTAGGACTCACTGGCGGAGCGCTGGTGGGAACGCGCAGTTTCCACAATCACAGGTGGCATCTGAACCAGGTGCAGTGGACTCTTCCCATCTTTCAACGCCTGAGTCAAGTTCAGGATCTGTATGGCACAACAGAGCAATGCCTGAGCGACAGAGCATCCACTCCAGCACCCTTCCTGCCACAAAGGTAGGACAAGGCTTCCTACCTCAGCCATCTGTCTTAACTCTGCACAGCTTACCTGGCCTCTCATGACAGCAATCTGCTTGTGGAACTGTCCCCTGTCAAAGCCAGGGTCTTTCTGCAAGAGAGAGAGCAAGGAACAAAATGAGATCCACTCTCTGCTTCATGCAGTGAACAAGATGCCTGTTCCCCAAGGAAGCCACATCCCCTGTCCTGTCCCATGGGTTTCCTGCTTCTCCCACATTGAATCTTCAGCTTCTGGCAGGAGGATAACCCTGCTGTGTCTCAGCCCAGGAACACTGTCAGGATCTTGACCATCTCTCTGTCCCTGCAACCTTGACAGGGAGCTCCCCAACACCACTCCTGCTTTTCCTCCTCCCACATCATCTTCACCCCCTCCTCCAGCTCACCTTGAAGAGCTCATACAGATCTTCCTCCAGGTCCTTGACAAAGTTGGGGTCTGAGATCTTGGGAAGAATCAGGTCCTTGATCTCCTGTGAAAAGGGGATTTTGGCCTGGGGCAGCCATGCCCAGTAGAATGGATCTGTGGAAGAAAGCAGGAGACATCAGAATTGGGGAAAGCAACACATGGTGCCACGTGCCCCTGGGTGCTAGATTCCCTGCATCTGCCTTCTACAGTCTCTGCTGAGGAGCTGCTTGTGAACCCAGAAGTTGCAGAGGCACAGCCCTAGCCCTCTCCTCTACAATCCTTGAAAAGGATGCCCAAGCATGGAGTTGTATGGCTTGCCACGGGGCTTTGGCATAGCCTGAGGGACTCACATGCTCTCCAGGAGTCCGGGTGTTTCAAGGGAAAGGCCAAACCATTGTCTATAGCAGCCAGCTTGATGATGGGCTCCTTCACCACCACCCAGTCGCTGTCCTGGAAGGAAGTGAAGCATGTCACAAGGAGGTCCTCCCAGCAGGAACAGTCCTTCTCCTACTCCCTGCAGCCCCTGGCTACCACAGAGGCACAGCAGCCTCTTGCCTGTAGCACGGCACCTTAAGCACAGGGAAACATAGTCTGCTTTGGGTGGGAAGGGGGACAAAGCTGTTTCCCCCCCAGGTCTCACTCCAAGGTCCAGCAACACCAATTTCCCCTACAGAGTTCAGCTGCATCCTCATGAAGTCCCACTAGGCCACAAGCCACCAACAAAAATGGTAACAAAAGGCCCAGGGGACAAGATCAGGCCTCAACACACTTGGAAACCCAAACCAGATGGGAAATTCCTGTCATGCCTGCCAAGCTGGCAGCTTCCAGAAGCAGAGTTCCCATGTTAGCCCTGCCCAGGAGCAGCCACTCACCCGCACGCCCGCGCTGTCCAGGGGACAGTCATACTTGATGAGCCAGTTGTCATTGCCCCGATCTGCAGGGAGACAGAACCAGCTGTGTCAGCACCAGGGCCTCCCTGCACCAGGCTGGGCAGAAGACTACTCCTCCTCTGACCCAGAAGTGAGACAGACACATTTTAGGCACAAACTCCCAGAGCCCTTAAATTTGCTGCAGGCATGGGGAGCCACATCAAGCCCCTCACAGACAGCCCTAGAGGTCCACATATCACCAGCTCCCAAGAGAAAGGTCAGCCTGCAAGCCCCAGAGTGCAACCTCAATCCCTTCCAGCCTAGTAGAAATTCAAGACCACGGTGTGAAATGGGATATACAGGGGCACAGTTAGTGCTGGATTTCTGGATGTCCCTGCATCCTCACAGTTGGCAAACTTTCACCTGAGCACCATGGTAGATCCAGATCTGCCAGTAAACTGGCCAGCAGCCAGAGCCTCAGGTGGTGAACAGCGCAGCAGCTGCACTCTGCCTAGAGGCAGATGTCACCTGCCAGCAACCGAGGGGAGAGGAGTTTCGGGTGCAGGGAAAAGCCACAAAGACCCTATCTCCCTCCCCTTTCTCCAGCATGGCAGGACATGAAGGAGCAGGTAGCATCCAGTGCCAGGCAGCTGGCCCTACCTGTGTTCCTGATGATGTAATCCAGCACCACCAGCCGCTCGAACTGCAGCAGCAGCTGCCGATTAGTGTTCTCCGGGAGCGGCTCGGCTTCAAACCGCCGCAGCCAGTAGTCTGCATCCTTGTAGCCTTCCACAAAGAGCTGGAAGGAGCCCACCTGAAGCAAGGAGAGGCTGCATTACAGAAGGCCACAGAGGCCAGGGAGGTGCTAACAGGCAGGCATGGAGGCTGGCAACCCTACCTTGGGTGGCAGACCAATGCGGTTGAAGCGCTGGCCAACTTTCGGCACCTTCTCCAGGGCCAGCCTCTTTCCTCGGGACTTCACCCTGTCAATGGCACTGTAGTTAAAGGTCTCACTGGCCAGATACACCACCTGGAGGGACACGAATGAGCACAGTCAGCAGGGGCCTCTGGCAAATCACAGGACTGCCCAAAAAAAACAAGACACAGCATTTCCAGAGCTCTGCCCAGCACAAGGATCCCCACGGTCTGAGCAGGAACAGTACTAGTCTAGAACACTCCATCTCCTAGGTCAGCAGTGACACAAGATAAGGTGCAAGCAGAGGTGTGTGGAAGCACACAAAAGCCTCCCCAGAAGAAGCCCCCAGCAGCTGTCCCCTCACCTTTGTGCGGGGAACAATGTTGAGTTCCAGTTTCTGGTCTACCAGGCTGGCACCTGCCTCTGACAGGTAGCCCTGGTTCAGGACAAGGCAGTCTCTCCCAAAGCAGCATGGGCAGCACAACTTCTGTAGCCACTTGGTCCACTTGGGGTTCAGCTGCCCATATGGCTCCTCATTCTTGGGCTTGAAGACGCCAATGATTTTCTGTGAGTGGGAGAAAAGAGGCCTGAGTCCAGGAAGTTGGCAGAGATGGGAGACTTTCCTCAGCTCACAGCAGGGATACTAAGGAACAGGTCCAGAACTGCCCCTCATTAGCATAATAACCAGCCTCCTGGGACCAGGCAAAACTTCACAGCTCCTGGGAGGGAGGTAGGCAGAGCTGGGAAGAAACCCTCTCCAGCCAGTATCCCATCCCACAAGAGCAGAGTGCTGCCCAGAGACCTTTATACCCAACATGAGTCCCAAAAACCACCAGTGATGATGCAGCCTCCTGGTAAACACATCAGTCTCATTCCAGTGACCTTTGGATGGCGGGGGAGAGCTACTGCTCATTGTTGGTCATTATGTCCACACAGGAAAGGGACAAGGATAGCAATCCCTGCCCTGGCTCAAAAATCCATTGAACAGAGCTGATCCCAAACTGACCAGAGGAAAAGGACCATAACAGCTGAGCACCTGCAGGACCCCTGAGGAGCCAGGGCTTTGTGCTGGGGAGTCCAGCAGAAGGACTGACTCACTGGATACATTGTGGATGAGAGGGCACAGGCAGCTCCAAACTGGCCACCAGCTGATACCAGCAGCTCCCAGCCCCTGAATCCAGCCTCACACACAAGCCAACCCAACAGTGGGGACAGCAGCATAGGTACCCCACTGCTGCAGAGGGCACAGCAGCCTTGAGTGGGGCACTGCACCACCACTGAGCCAGCACTGCCACAGCACACAGATGAGAGAAGGGCTGGGACAGGAGCAAGGCCACCTGTCCCCAAAAGTCAGGCATCCCTGGGGGGATGGCAGTCCCTGCTCTGGAGTGACTCAGCAGCACATGCAACCAGGCCTTCTCCCTATGGGTATTGGTAGCCCTGGCCTGAGTGGGCGTCACTTCCCCAAGCTGAGCTCCTGCCAGAATGTAGAAGTAGAACATGAGTCCCAGTGCTTCAGCAGGGAACTTCAATGCAATCTTAGTCTGTCAGGGGCCAAAAGCCAGGCCACAGCAAGCAGAACCAAGGCTTTGTCCACCAGGAAGGCAGAAAGGAAGGGTTTGAGAGAAGAGGATCACTTGAGCCATGTCCAGATCACATGGTGGAGCCACTTTCCCTAGGCAGGCAGGAAGGCAATCCCCCGCACCAGCCCCACACGGCTGCCACATGACTGTCAGTATATCCAATATATCCATCCTCGGATATGATCCTGCAAAGAGGCCTGTCAGGAGCTCTGCCAGCATGAAGCCCTGTGCTCCATGGAACCAGTCCAGCAGAACAAGGCCCAGCCAGGCAGGGACAGCATGGAAGCAGAAAACAGAGGCCTGGCAGCACAGACATCCCCTTCCAGACAGACCCGTGCCGAGAGCAGCACTGACAGGGAAAACAGGTCTGCCTGGTGCCAGCAGCAAGGCAGAGAGCTGGCCAGCACAGAGCAGCAGTGGGGTGATCACAACCACTGGGGCTGGGCAGCACAGCCCTGGAACAGCTCAGGCCCAGCAGCCTCAAGGGAAATAATCAAAGAAGAAAGTTTTTGCCCCCAATATCTTTCCCCTGCTGCTCACATTATCTACATGCCGCGCTCTCTCCCGTGCCAGCAGTGGGATGTTTTCAGCAACCCTGGGCAGCAATCACAGCAACCAGTCACACACCACATTTGCTGGCAGCAGGATAATCTGGTGGGCCTGCCAGCTGACAACGCCAGCAATACACAGACTTTGGCTCCTCACACTCATGCTTCAGCAGCCATCCTTGAGTTTGGGTCTTCTGCAGCCAGACAGCGTCCAGCCTACAATTCCCAAGTAGATCATCAGGCTGCCCCCTCCAGGTCTCATATTGGGTAAGAGGAGGGAACTGGGCTGTGGCACAAATGAGTATTTTCCCACACACCATCAGCTGAGCCGGGAACTGCCTGCTGAGTATTTCCCCACACGCCATCAGCTGAGCTGGGAACTGACAGCTTCCAGGAGCCAGCTTTCACCCAGAGAGGGAAAACTAGGACACACCAGAGACCACAGAGCTCACTCCTGATTCCCTGGAAGCATCCCAGCAAACACGTGGCAAGGGAGTCACAGGAAACAGCAACAGCTCAAGTAATTGGGCAGGGAGCAGCAGGTCACAAGACAAGCCAGCCTGTGCTGCACACTCATCCGGTCAGTGGCACAAAGACAGCCAACCAGGTCTACAGGGGACCAGCTGCATGGCAAGGACTTTCTCTCCACTACATCAACCACACAGCCACAGAGAAGACATCTCACTCTGTTCAAAAACACAGGCCAAAACCAGCTCAGCCCACAGAGGAACAGCCCTGAGGTTGGAGTCACTGTGTTCAGATGCTGATGCACGGGCCTGTGGGAGGGGGCGACCCTTCCTCTTTGGGCACAAAGCCGCAGCAGAGGTTGAATCAGCACTTGGACACTGCTGCCCCGCACTCTCGCTGCTGGTCCCGCTGTACTTCTCCCCGGGGAGGCTCAGACCCGCTCCGGTCGCTCCTACCAGCCCTCCGCGGCCGGTCAGTCCCGCCAGCGTCCCGCTCCCGGCCAGCGCCGCTCAGCCCACAGGCCTCCGGAGCTACGGGGGCGGGACCACCCCTGGGTCGGCCACGCGGGGCTAGGCCCAGCTCACCCCCTGCGGGTCCTTCACGAAGTAGCTGCCGCTGGAGCCCTGCGAGATGCGCTCGGGGAAGATGCCGCGCTCGCTGGCCAGCTCAGCCCGCCGCACCACGTCGGCAAACTCGGGATCCTCGGGGAAGTCGTTGCGCTCCCGCTGCGCGGCCGCCGCTGCCGCCGCCGCTGCCGCGCGCCGCTGCCGGGCCCCGCGCCCCGCGCTCCAGCAGCGGCTGCCGCTCGCGATCGCGGCCGCCAGGGGAGCCGGGAGGGGAGGGCAGCGGGGGCGCAGCGGGCGGGAGGGCGCGCACGGCACCGCCCGGCAGCCCGTAGTCGGGGCCCTGCGCCCTCTCCGGCGACACCAGCGGGCTCGTCTCGTCCATCGCGCCGCCCGCCCGGCCCCGCCGTGCCGCTGCTGCCGCTTCCTGTTCCGCCCGCGTCACGGCGCCCCAGGGGCTGCTCCGCCCCCCGCCACACCCCATTGGCTGCTCCGCCCCAGGTCTCGCCACGTCCGGCCGGGCCGCTGCGGCAGGAACCGCGGGGCCGGCTGCGGACATGGTACCGCTGGGGCTGGTTCAGAAGCTCTCGCGCCTCGAACCGTTCGTTCGGGAAGGCCAAGGTGTCTTCGCCCACCGTACACCCCCGCCGTGGCGGCTGGCGCCAGTGCCCTACACAAAGATGGACGCTCTGGAGTGGCCGTGCCCATTGCTGCCCTTTACAAAAATGGAGGCAGGGCGAGGGCCCTGCCCCTCTGCAGCCACGCCCGCGGTGGCGAGCTACTTGCCCCACACAAAGATGGCGAGCGGCGAGGGCGTGCTGTGCAGCTGGCCAATGAACAGTCGCGTTGCTAGCGGTTGCCATAGAAACAGCCAACGGCGAGTGGGGATGGACGCTGGCGGCGAGGCACCGCCCGGCGGGGCGGGGTGCTGGCAGGGGCGGTGGCGGCCGCCGCCCCTCGGCGGGACGTGGTGGGGAGCGGTGCAGGCGGACAGCGCGGAGCCAGGTGAGCGCGGGCCGCGGGTCCCTGCGCCGCCCGCCCCGCCCGCCCCGCTCCTGGGCACGCACCGGGCCCGTGAGCATCGCCATGCGCGTCCCGGTGGCGGGGCGTGCGTGTATCAGCCGTGGGTGCATGAACACGCCGGGGTGTGGGTGCATCAGCCGGGGGTGCACGGACACGGCGGGGTGCGGGTGCACGGACACACCGGGGTGTGGATGATCGCTCACGGGAACAGAGACACGACGGGATACTGACACATCGGGGTGTGGGTGCATCACCCGTGGGCGCGGTCACGCCCCCGGACACACTCCCCGGGCGGGGTGGATGCGTGGCCCGGGCAGGATGTCCGTGCCTTGGCCCGGGGTGTGCGGTTCACGGGGTTCACGGATGTGCGATCCGGGCTGAGCTGCGCGCCTTGCCCCTCCCTGCGGCGGGCGCGGGGCGTGCTGCGGGCTCGGGGCGCTGCGAGCCCGGGCGGGCGTGTCCGGCTTCTGGGCAGGCTGGAGAGCTCGTGGGGTGCTGTCCTCCAGGTGAAGTGTCACAGGCCGTGCTGGCCGTGTCACAGCCCGCGGCAGCACCCTCTCTCTCCTGCGGCTGGGCATGGCCGGGCAGGCTGTAGGGTGGGAGCCGGCGGTGCGCTCCCGCTCCCTGCCATCAGCAGGGAGCACTGTTCAGTCGCTGTTCGCCTTGCTGGGGCCATTTCTCCGGACACAAAGCCCTGGGAAGTTCCTGTTTCGCTCCTGAGCGCCGCGTCCTGCTGGTTCCTGTGGTTCAGTAGCCGCCTCTTGGGTGATGCGCGGCCGGCTCTAAGCACATAGACCCCGCTTAGACGCTGGGAGCCCCTTCCCATCGCTGGCATTGCCTGAGCTGCGCCGGCAGCGGCTGGAGAGGCAGCGCCCAGCCCACCTGCGGGGCTGTCTCTGTTCTGGTGCCTTCCTGTGTGCTGGGGAGCGCTGTGCTGCGTGGCAGGGCTCTGTGAGGTGTACAGGGCTTCAGGAGATGCTTGCTGTTGGCAGGCAGGTTTGCAAGGCTTGGGTAGCCGAGCAAAGCCCTGAAGCCCCAGGATGCTATCTCTGCTGTCCCTCTTGGGAGGAGTGTCCTCTCATCCCTGGGGGTGAACCTGGTCTCGTTCTTGATGCTGAATCCGAAAACCCCACAAGCTCCTCCCTCTCCTGAGGAACTGCCACTGAATGCAATCCAGCAAATCCATCTCCTCTCCAAAACGTTTGTTTCTGTCTGGAACTGCCCCAGCAAAGCTGGAAGTGGCCCATGGCCTGAGCCTGCACAGTGCAGGACCTCTGGGGTTCTGCTGGAGTGCCATGACGGAGGCAGCCAGTTCGTGCCACTGCTCTTCCTGCTTCTCACTCACATTTCACAGGGCTGTGACCCCCGTGGGCTCACATCTCCCCGAGCCCTGCACTGGGGCGGGCAGCAACCCGAACCTGGCGGCTGGGGTTTCAGAGCCTGGGCAGGGCAGCTGTGCTCCTGGGCTCACCTCCTCATCTGTGCTATGCCCTAGCAGAGCTATTCCCAGGGCAGACAGGCTCCTCTCTGCAAGCTGAGAGGATGCAAGGGCTCTGGGCAAGCCGAGCTGCTCTCCCTGCCCAGCAGCTCTCTGTGCCTCTCCCTGCCAGCTCTTGTCCTGCTGTGCCGGAGGCTGTTGCCATGACCCTCACCAAAGGCTCCTTCACCTACTCCAACGGGGAGGAGTACCGCGGCGAGTGGAAAGAAGGTGAGATGTCGCAGGAGGGAACGGTGCCAGCCGTGCTGGGGGACAAGCAAACCCCACATCTCTGCCCAGCTCCACGCTGGGGCAGGTCCCGCCTCTGCCCAGTGCTGCCCATTTCTGCTGTCACCTAGGTCGCAGGCACGGCATCGGACAGCTGACATTTGCGGATGGCACTGCTTACGTGGGGCACTTTGAGAACGGGCTCTTCCACGGCTGTGGTGTGCTCACCTTCTCCGATGGCTCCAGGTGGGCATGGTGCTCCTGCCTACACCTCCCCGGGCATTCCCCCTTGCCGCGGGGAGCTGCTGCCTCAGGAGACCCTCCCACACAGGTACGAGGGGGAGTTTGTGCAGGGCAAGTTCAATGGCGTTGGAGTCTTCACCCGCTGTGACAACATGACCTTTGAGGGCGAGTTCAAAGGCGGGCGCGTGTACGGCTTCGGTGAGTGCTGCACGGCCCCTGCTCAGCACAGCCCCTTCCAGCATCTCCCGCTCCATCCCTCCTTCCCTGGCCCCCTCCCGGCGGGTGCAGCTCCCTGCTTCTTCACTCCCAGCCCTTCCCTCCCCTCCCCAGGTCTCCTGACCTTCCCTGATGGCTCACACGGCATGCCCCGCAATGAGGGCTTCTTTGAGAACAACAAGCTGCTGCGGCGGGAGAAGTGCACGGCCATCATCCAGAGGGCCCAGGGCGCCTCCAAGTCTGCCCACAGCCTGACAGCGTGATGGTGCTCGCATGCCCTCCCACCAGAGCAGGGACCCCCCCTACTTGGGCGCTGGCTGGCCCTGGAGAAGGGATGTGGCACTGCTGGGTGCCTCCCTGCCCTTTATCCCCTCCAAGCATCCTCCTGCCAAGCCCTGCCGCTGGAGGGGATGGGACACTCCGCTCTCCACCCAAGTGCCCTGGGGCAGCCGTGGTGCCTTCTCTGTCTGGCTGTAGTCCTGGCACCTGCTGGAGCAGCAGAAGGACAGGGTGACAGGGGTTTGGCCCCTCTTCCCCCTAGGAAGACTGTGGACCACTACAGCTGCTAGCCAGCTGCAGAGGATGGAGCAGAGGGGTAGAGGCTGGTCCCTGACCCCACTGCCAGGGTGCCTTGGCTGGAAGCTGCTGACTGAACCACGTACCCCCAGAGGGGCAACTCCTGGCTCACTTTGTTGCCCTGGTCCTGGAGGCAGGGTGGGCACCCCGGGCAGGTTGTGGCCTGCACCCTCAGCTCTGGGTGACTGGCCATCCCTCAGCATGCCCAGGGTATGGTGACATTGTGTCCCCAAGGAACCCAGCCTGCTCTCAGGGCCAGCCAATGGGCTGCGTTTCCCTCATCCCTGTGCCAATCCACCCTTCCACCCACTGCCTTGGGGACATCAGCAGCAGCATCCCCACCAAGAGCAACTGGGGAATGCCCAGCCTGGCACGGGTCTGCTGCATGCTGGTGGAGGATGGTAGCAATGGTGAGCAAGAAGGGTCAGCTGGAGCCTGGCATGAGGGACATGAGCAGGGCTGCATGGAGTGCCAGGGCTGGAGCAGGAGGCCTGGGCAGAGCGGGGATAGAGGTACAGCGAAGGGGCAGGCAGGGGGCACACAGTTCCCCATTTCGCCCCCCACAAGCGTCCTTCACCTCCCCACTGCATGCTCACCTTGGCCCCCGGTGCGGTCTGGCTGGCTGTGGCACAGGGGTCCCGGCAGCCCTCACTGCCCAGTGCAGGCTCCAGGGGCCATGCCCTCCCTGCCAGTCCCTGCCCGCACCGGGTCCCGTGCCTTGCTGTGACCCTGCCTTGTGCTGCTGCCTGCACGGGCCTCAGCTGAGTAAACCATGTTGCCAAACACATGTGCCATGTCTTTTTTGCTGGGAGCAGGGATGGCACGGGAGCCTTGCACAGACAGGACTGCAGACACAAAGAGGAGACTGCAGGTTTATTCATGGCACAAGGATCCACCCCTCCCCAGGCAAAGACAACAGGTCCCTGGGGGCTGGCAGGGATGCAGGCTGGCCTGGGGTTGCCCTCCTCTACCCATTCTGCCCAGTCCAGCCGTATCCAACAGGGAAGAGTAACATGGCGGCCCTCTCCTGGCCACCTCCCAGCATCCCCAGAATGTCCCCAGTTCCTAGGGTCCCTGACTCCTGTACCTTCCCAGTGTGAGAAGGGGCAGATGGAGAACACCTCACAACCATCCATTGGCACTGAAGGTGCTCCTCAGCTCTTCAACCTGGGCAGGGCTCAGAGGGGCCAGGGGTGCACGGCAGGGCCCTCCGTAGTAGCCAAACCACTCCATGGCCTTCTTCAACCCTGGGATCCCAAACCGGCGGGTGACCTGTGGGAGGGAGGGCGTGGAGGCTTTCTGGCTCCCGTGGGCCAGCATGCTCTCTGGGCTCTGCTGTGCTTGCTTGCCATCACTCCTGTCCTCGCCATGTGGGGCTGCAAGGCTGGCAGGGTGTGAGGTGGCTGCACCCCCCCATGAAGAGCCCACTGTGGGGTGGGGGGCAGAGCACACCCACACAGGACTCTACACAGGAGCTCTGTGGCACGCTGGGCTCTGCAGCAGGGACAGGCCACTCCACAGTGGGTTGAGGGGCCCAGGAAGAACCAGCTCTTCCCCCCCACACACTGCTGCCTATAAATAGCCAGCAAGGCTCTGCATGAGGGAGGGTCATGCAGTGCCTGGTGCCAGTGGACGAGCTGTTCCTTAACATGATAGGGTGGGCTTCCCACCTTCTCACCTCCAGTCTGTCTTGGCTTGCTGTGCCATCCTGTCCCCCTGAACCACCCCTCCACCCCTTGCAGCCCAAGGGACTTCCATTCTTTGCCTCTGTCATGACCTGGCACCCCCTCCCTTCAGCATCCCAGCCTGCTCACCGCTGTGTTGGGCTCAATGAGGCGGTGCTGCAGGTCACGGGCCTCCTGCCACTGGCCCGTTCGACACAGCTGGTCCAGCTGACACAATGGGTCACCCAGAACATTGGCGAGGGCACACACACCCCCAGAGGCACCTAGAGACACCAGGACACGCTGGCAGCCAGCTCAGCATGCTGTGCCTAGCCAGCACCTCCTGGTCTCTCAGTGTCCCCAGGCAGTGCCCCCAGCCAAGGATGGGCAGCTGCACTTACCCACAGTGTAGCTCGCCAGCAGGAAGCCAGCTGATCCTGCCAGCACCTGGAAATCCTCCTTCCGTGTCTTGTGGACCATCAGCCCCATGCGGGTGATCTGGGGAGAGACATGCTGTGCCCTGGGGCAGGCATCACCCAGCCCCCCTTGCTGCAGGGTGCCTGCTGGCAGCCCTGGGGTCCAGGGAAGGGCTGCAAGTCCCAGCTCCCCATTCCCAGCTTAGGTCCATGTTTGGTGGTAAGCAGCCCTGGGAAAGTCCTGCCCCACTCACGTCCCCACCGCTGTCCTTGATCCCAATGATGTTTGGGTGCTGAGCCAAGGTGATGACAGCCTCCATGGGCAGGTCCAGGCCGGTGTTGGCAGGGACACTGTACAGCACCACAGGGATGGGGGATGCATCGCCAACCTGCAGGCAGCCAGGCAGATTTCAGTAGCTGGGGTGGGCTGGGGACACACTGGACGTGTGTAACCTGCTGCCCTAGCTGGGGCTGCTGGCAGGCGCTGGACATGGCTCACCTCTGTGTAGTGATGGATCAGGGCAGCAGTGGTCATGGCCCCCCGGTAATAGCAGGGTGTCACTACCAGCGCCACGTCAGCCCCCACCTCTGCCATGCTGACTGTCAGCTCGATGGTGGCCTGGGTGGCTGGGGAGGCGGCAAAGGGGTGAGGGGTGCTCCAAGGGGGACGCACGGCCCCTGCACTGCCCCCCATGCTGCCCACACAGGCACTCACATTCGCAGCCCGAGCCAGCCAGCAGCAAGCGGTCCCTGGGCAGAGCCCGGCGCACGCAGCTCACCACCTCCACCCTCTCACGGGATGCCAGGTATGGATACTCCCCGTTGGAGCCCAGCACCACCAGCCCTGAAACACAAATGTGGGGAGGGCAGGGCTCAGGCACAGGAGAAGAGTGCCAGGACCGTCAGGTATTTGCATTACTCTCACTCCCTTTTTTGCTGCTGGCACCCAGGCAGAGCTCCACAGCCCACAGTGTGCCCTCTCCTGCCTATGTCCTTGCAGTCCCAGCTTCCTGGTCAGAAGAGAGGAGACTCTGGGGAACATCCTCGTGAGGCTGCAGCCTCTTCTTCTTCTATCATCTGTCCATCCTTGGCAATTGATAGATACATATCCCAGGAATTTTTGAGTGTACATGATAGTGCATTGCATAGCTTCAAGCATGCAGCTATGAGTGCAGCATGTGTGCAAGCCTGCACATGTGTGGAGTGTGTGTGCAAGCACGTGCTGGCGTGTTGTGAGGGTGTGCAAGGACACACTCGGGTGCCTGGGTACATGCCATGCAAAGGGCCCCGGGTGGGTGACCCGAGGTGTTGCCAGCCACAGAGCAAAGTCCATCTAGAGGCTGAGCACCCTTGGGGAGCTGGCAGGCTGCGTGCACGCTGCCGCACAGCGTCTGAGGCAGGCGGGGATGTGGCGGGAGCCTGCCCGGAGAAGGACAGTGGGCTTACCTCGGAAAGGGATGCCGGCATAGCGGCGTAGGTTTCCCTCCAGCTGGGCATAGTCCACCTCCTGAGTGGGCGAGAAGGGGGTGGCGAGCGGTGGGAAGATGCCCCCAAGACTGAAGGAGGGCTCTGATCCCTGCGGGGTGCTGAGCCCCCGGCACTGCCCGGGGGCTGCCCCGTGCCGAGCTGCCAGGGCAGGCCGGAGGGAGGAGGCGAGGCGGGTGCTGAATGCCATGGTGGCTGGGTGCTGCCGCTGCCTGTGCTGCTCGCCTCGCCGAGGGGCTGTTAATGTTTGACGGGGCACGTGAGGGACCCGCAACCCTGCTGGGCAGATGACATGGGGGGTGGTACCACATGAGCTCAGGGTGTTCTTCTCCCTACAGGAGCTGGCTGCAAGGAGCTCAGCGCCTTTCCAGCTGAGCTTTGGCCACCGCGGCCGTGGCTTTCCCTTCTGCTTGCCAGCCCTGGCAGCCATTCCTCTGCCTCGTACAGGGTTGGGCTGCAAGGCCAGAGAGGGACCAGGCATTACAAGCAGTCCCAGGGCTTTGGTCAGGGATCACCTGATCCACCTGTCAGTGTAGGGTGTCCTGTGAACGGGCGAGTGTGAGCACTGCATTTAGCATGAGTGCAGAGGGACCACCTGTCCCCTGGGGATGGCTGCAGCAGGAAAGGCAGAAGGACAAGAAGCCATCCAACCCCACAGAGTGGCTGTCCAGCACGTGTACAGGGTGCTCTCTGGCACAACCTCAGCCTCCAGCACAAGATGGAATCAGGTGGAGCTGTCCTCCATGTATTTTTCCTCCCTGAGCTTGCCCAGGTGGGACTTCATAGGACCGTGAGCAATCAGGACTCCTGCAGCGAGGAGTCCTGCACTTGAACCACTTGGTGTCACCAGTACTTGAGTCCTAGTGATAGGAGGCAGGGCTCATCATGCTGCCAGATAACCCTGCTCCCAGGATAATCCAGCTTCCCCAGGCCCACCAAGGCTGGTACAGGCTGCCCAACCTCAAAGCCACCTGGAGCCAAACACTGCTCTTTGCTAACTTTTATTGACACAGACAAGTCTTGTCTGGATCATGCTCCTTGGAGCTGAGCCCAGCCCCTGGTCCCTGCCTGGTGCCATCATGCAGGGACCTCCATCTCCCCCTGTGGCTGCTCCTTGGTCTCCAGCGCCTGGCGTGTGTCCACCTGCCACTGCTGCACCAGGTCTGTCGGGGTCTTGCCAGCCTGCAAGGGTGGGCAGAGAGAGGCTGGGCACAGGGTGATGCAACAGGATGGGGCAGCAAATGGCCTCAGTGCTGGCCCCACACACTCACCTCATTCTTGGCCATCATGTCAGCCCCGTGCAGGATCAGCGTTTTGATGATCTTGTAGCGACTGAGCCGTGTGGCATCATGCAGTGCTGTGTCACCTTCCTGAGAGACACAGCTTCACTGGAGATTGTGGGCCAGGGACAAGGATCCTCTGCCTGCCCCCAGCACTGCTCCCCAGTCCCCAGCACACCAATCTCCACACAAATAAAGGGGACCGTTCCTGTCCCAGACCTGGCTGCGGCTGTAACCACCCTGGGGCAGGGATGTGTGTATCCAGATGTGCCCCACCGTGGGTACTGGAAGCCCTTGGAGGGGTCAGCAAAGACAGGGGGATCAGTGTTGCCCCCAGTGATGCCTGCATGGCTGCAGCACTCACCCTGTCTGGGGCATTGATAGCCACCCCGCAGTGGATGAGATGCTCCACAATGTCAAGGTGTCCGGTTCGGGTGGCCACGTGAAGGGGTGTGCTGAGCAGCTTGAGGGGGGATGAGATGGACATCAGGGGGGATCAGCACCCCCACATGCTAACCCAACAGAGGGTCAGCTCTGGTACCCCTGGCACAGCCCTATGACCTGCTCTGCCCTGCTCACCTTGTCCTTCACATTGAGGTCTGCCCCGCGGTCCTGCAGCAGTTTGACAGCATCCAGGTGCCCACCCCGGCAGGCCCAGTGCACGGCAGTGCAGTCCAGCTGGACATACAGTGCTGTGTCATGGTGGGGGACACCGCTACCCTGTACCTGTCCCCTGCCCCAGCAGGTCCCCATGCTGGAGCTGAACTGGCGGAGCCCTGCTGCAGCCACCTCCGTGATGGGGACAGCACTGCCCCACTGCAGGGTCCCCAGTCCTGCTGTAGTTCTGGCTGCAACACACCCAGATGCTCAGACCAGCATGCAGCTGGAAGCAGAGTCCAGCCTCACCCGGTCCCTGAAGTCAACAGTGGCCCCACTGT